CGTGGACCATGGAATCCTCCTGGGGAGGTCATTCCTAAGCAGGACAGAGACCGTGATGTTCAACAAACATGATGGGACGCTGATCCTCCTCTTATGTGATCCTGCTTGCGAAAATTATGAAATAATTACTTGCAGGAACACCGGGCCAAGGAGTATAAGGAACCGGCCCAATCCAGGATCATTCACAATCGAGGAGTCGGAAGGGGAGCGCGGGAGACTCTGGGCAGAGCCCGAAGCAGGAGAGGGGGTGGAAGCATTTTCCCTCAGCCTGTCAGATGTTGGGAGGGCCATGGACCTGGTGGCCGCGCATGAGATGGCAGATTCGGATGCCATCCAGGCCTTTGAGGGAACAAGTTCTGGAATGCCCTGAGGCAGGAAGGTTGGAACTGGTATATCGGCTCCCAGGCAGTGGAGGGAACCCCGCATCAGCGCAAACACAATCTGTGAGTCGGCCTTTTGTAGGGGACGGCTCAAGCAGGGTTCTCAAAGGCGGTACAAGACGGTAGATAAGAAATGCTACCCAGTACCCGTCCTCGTTACAGAGGACGAGGAAGCATATTACGAGAGGGAACGAGGGTTGATTCGACAAATGAGGGAAAGTGTTTTAGCAGGGTCATGTCGTATCAACAAAGGGAACGAGAAGAAGTTGATCATAGGGGAGTCTGATTTCCTGCTGCCTCAGGAGCGAACGCTGATGGTGGAATTAGTGAAGAGAAAACATCGCGCCTACATGTTTAGTGACGAGGAGCGTGGCAGGCTGGATGTAGATAAGATACCTATGATCCGCATCCACACCGTGCCACACGAGCCTTGGAACATGAGAGGGGCGCGATATCCCAATCCTGACGAGGAAAGGAAGGTGGTGGATTATCTCGACGGCAAGATACGTACTCACGTCACCGACTATTCAAGTGGACCGTATGCGTCCCCGTGGTTCTGCTTTATTAAGCCTAACGGAACGATGCGGTGGGTGCAGGATTTGCAAAGATTGAATGCAGTGACCGTGCGAGATGATGGAGGACTGCCGAATGCAGACGCGCTGTCAGAATCCTGTGCTGGAAGGCCTATAATTTCGCTTATAGGCCTTTACTCAGGATACGATCAGTTCCCAGTCTACCCGCCGGATAGGCCGGTGACAGCTATGCACACGCCGCGAGGATTAGTCCACATGAATGTGGCCCCACAAGGGTGGACCAACGCAGTAGCAATGGTCCAACGGGCCATGATTCGGGCCATGCAGTCAGTCAGCCCCCATATCACACAGCCATACATTGACGATTTGACAGTGAAGGGGCCGACGACGAAAGAGAGCGATGAAGTCTCACCAGGGGTGAGGCGCTTTGTCTGGAAACACATTCAGGACCTCGAAAAGGTCCTGAGCCTACTCGAAGAGCATAACCTCACGGCAAGCGGGGCCAAATCCAGACACTGCATGAGGGAAGCGACTATCTTGGGGATAGTCTGCAATGAAAAGGGCCGAAGGCCAGATGTGAAGAAGACGGACAAGATTACTGAGTGGCCAGTTCCGTTCCACTCAATAACTGATGTTAGGAGCTTCCTTGGTACGTGTGGATTTTGGAGGGCCTTCGTCAAGAACTTTGCCGCTAAGACTGAACATCTGAGGAAGTTAGTCCGTCAGGATCAGGAATGAGTATGGGGTGAGGAACAAGAAGAGGTGGTAGCAAAAATGAAGGAGGAATTTCGAGAAGGAGGGTTGGTGTTAGGAGCGTCAGATTATGACGCCACAGAGACGCGACCCTTCATTGTCGAGACGGATGCGGGGCCGACTGCCTTAGAGGGAGTTCTAATTCAGGCAGACATGGAAGGGAAGGAAAGACCCTTGCGATTTGAGAGTCGGACCCTCTGTACGACGGAGAGGAACTACTCTCAGTTCAAGAGGGAGACCCTTGTTGTCCTCCATTGTCTGCGAATCTTCTGGAATTATATCTTTGGCAGGAGGTTTATTTTGAGAGTGGATCCGACCGCCCTGGCCTACTGGCTAAGGAATTACGTTCCATCGGATCCGACGATTGCCAGATGGCTGACGTACATCTGGATGTTCAATTTCGAATTGGAACGGATTCCTGGTAGTAAGAACCGGGCGGACGGGCTGAGTCGGATCAACTGGGATAAGCAGGAAGGAGAGGCGGTGGCGAATACGCTCCCAGTTGATGGGTTTCTGGATCAGGAAGAAGATGTTCGTCTTCATATCAACAAATGGTCGCCGCGAGTGCCTAGCTGTGTAGGCTATCCTATCTGGCAAGCGCCGAAGGGGTATGAAGGGAGGAATGAGCTAGTCCTTATCCCTGGGGCGGTAAGGATGTTCAGTGGATGATGGAATTAGCGCTGGCCAGCTCGCATAGCCTGGTGGAGGATATGAGGACGATTGAGGAAGGACCTGGCCAGGTAAAACGGCATGAGGACTCGATGGGAGGAATGTATCTCCTCGTCAATACGTTATTGCAGGAAAGTCTAGACCAGTCAGGCTCGTTGAACCCGGCAGGGAATGTGGACGAAATACCCGAGAGCCAGGACGACGAGTTCGAAGAAGGGGAAATTAAGGAGGTTTTTCGTGCAGAGGAGTACGACGGGATCTACCTGGAGCTGGGGCTTCTTCTGTCATGTGAAATGCGGCTAAGAGATGCGAGCGATAGGGCTCAAAGGATGCTGCAACGCTACTTAGTGCGAGATGGTCACCTTTTCGTGAGAACGAAAGTGGGGAATCCCAGGAGGGTCGTCTGCGGTAGGAATCGTCAGATCGACGTCGTAGCAGCACTACACGATGGCATTGCAGGAGGGCATCGAGGGGTACAAGCCACGTATGCCAAGATAAGTGAGTTGTACTACTGGGATGGAATGATGGACATGGTYGRRAAATTHTGTCGATCYTGCGTRCCCTGCCAGGAGAGATCCCGTTTAAGGCAGGGAGAGCCGCTGCATCCAAGGTTAGAGCGAGAGGTAGGGGCCGTAGTGCATCTCGATCTGCTTTTTATGCCACTTGGGGATCAGGGCTATAACTATATCTTCGATGCGCGCGATAACCTGTCTGGGTTCGTAGACGGGCGAGCTATTCGCACAAAGACCGGATCAGTCCTGGTGAGCTGCATCGAGGAGTACTACCTACGTTATCCTTTCGTCAAGGAATTCGTAATGGACAGGGGATCAGAGTTTACCTGTCAGGAGGTGCAAGAACTGTTAGCAAGATATGGTGTGGCAGCCAACTACACCACGGCCGCGCACCCCCAGGCAAATGCTCCCGTAGAGAGAGGACATAGTACCATTACGAACCTCCTGGCCAAATGGACCGAAGGTAGGCCTAATCAATGGCCAAGATACCTAAGAGCGGCTTTCTTTGTCGAGAACATTACAGTAAAGAGATCCACCAAGTACGCACCTGCGACGCTGTGGTACGAAAGGCATGCCACCTTCCCTATCAAAAGCTTTCTTAAGACGTGGAGGCGTCGGGATCTGGAAGTCAACCTGCCATTTGAAGAGTTGCTCGATATTCGGGCGCGGCAGGTCGGGGCGATAGAAGAAAGGATCCAGGAGGCATCTGATCAGATGGCGAGAAGCCGTATGGATGATAAGGCCCGATGGGATCAGTCTGCGCGAGTGAGGAAAGTACCCTTGGCAGTCGGGGATGTTGTGCTTCTCTACGATACGTCGCTGGAAAAGCAGTGGTCCAGGAAGCTCGATAAGAGATGGTTAGGTCCCTACCGAATTGCACGGGTCGGAGACTTCGGAGCGTACCAGATCGAGGAGTTAAATGAGACTGAGTGGAAGGATTGGGTATTTGGAACGCGACTGAAGAAATTCGTGGCGAGAGAAGAGGTAAGAGAGATGATCTGACCGCCCCTAGAATAAGAAGTAACAGGGTGTGTAGGTTAGAAAGGATGCATGCTGCATAAGTGTGGTCTGGTTTGAGCTTGCTCTGATTATCACCTGCTTGCTTACCCCAACGTGTGCCTGTTGTCTCCTTCGCCTGTTGTGCAGGTCTGACTTTACGAAGACAGCCATGCCAAGAGGAGGGAAGGGGACACGGCCGCCTGAGAGGCCGTTGGGCGCATCAGGAGGATATGAGCGGCATGGGCCTCGCCAACGAGAGAATACTCCAGTCTACAATGATGGGGACATCGAGCTATTCTTGGACAGTTTTTGGGAGCATGCGAGGCGTATGGGCTGGATGGTCACTCAGGCGATTGAGAGATTGAGGGGAACAGGTAGGTTCGAAGAGCCCATTGCCAGGATTCGTAGGGAGGCGACGACGAGGCAGGAGGTGGAGATAAGGATGGAGAAGTTGCGACCCTCGCCTGTGGGACCTGATGGCAGGCCAATCCGCCTGGAGATTGGAAATGCGTCGGACTTCATCCCCGCGTTTGAGTGGTTTATGCAAGAGCAGGGCATACAGAGAGATGATTGGATGCAGATACTACCACTCTGGACCAGGAAGGCGGAAAGGTCACTGACTATGCAGATCAGGGACATGGCACGAGATTGGGAAAGCTGCAGGACACATTTGAGAGAGGTCTTTCGACGGCCAGAGCTCCCTCAGCCCAGAGTCGAGAGACGGTAGAGGAGTCAGAGGCCGAGGGACCCTGAGACCAGGGAGGCGAGACCATCTCGAGGAGGGTGGAAGGCCCTAGCCAGGAGAGAGCAGGGGCCAGAGGATGAGGAGCGAGGGGCATACCCTGAGTGTGGGTTGGGGCCAGTGGAGTTCCATCGTTTTACTGAGGGTGGATTGAGGAGGTCGCCAGCTCACACACAGGGGAAGCCACCAGCGTCAGAGGGACCCTTGAGGGAATTGGAGATGCATTTAGATATCTCTCGGTGGAGGGCGTCGCTTCAGGGTGAGGAGCATGGAGAGCAGGCAAGGGAGGTGCCACGAGAGGAGGTGCCACAAGAAGAGGTCCGGGGTACTCAACGAGAGAGGGCTGGGCGATGAGGGGAGACGTGCAGGGAAGGAAGTGATAGAGGTTGGAGAGGACACCCCCCACAGACGCCAGCAATGGGTTTGAGACTCGAGGATGCACCAGGGAGCACCCGGCCGACAAAGGAGGGGTTGCAGAGAGAGGAGACCCCTTTACCTTCGTCAAAAAAGGCTCCTTCGTCAGAAAAGGCTCCTTCGTCAGAAAAGGCTTCTTCGCCAGAAGGGAGGGCAGAAAGGAGGAGAGAGAGGGCAGCTGTAAGGAGAGAAGCTTTGATCCTGATTGATAGGCACCTAGCAGCTCATGCCCTGGAGCACCCAGACCTGGAGGAGCCAACACCTGCAGAGCCACGCCAGGAGTCTTGCCAGCCCGAGAAGGAGATGGAAGCAGAAATCCCAAAGAGGGTCGACCTCCGCACGAGGGAAAGGGTGCCAGCTGGAGAGATGGCCGAAGAAAAGAGGGCAAGACGAACCAGGCGGATAAATGAGATATGGCAGGAGAGGCAAAGGTTGGAGGCAGCTGGGGAGCTCCCGGAGCAGCAGCAGGAAAGGCAGAGATCGGAGGCAGCATGAGCACTCCCGGGTCAGCCGCCCAGCGCACCAGCTAGGGCCCCAGAGATTCCTGAGATATGGAGGGACTTCTAGGAGCAGAGAGGAGAGGAGCTTCCATCGCCAGTCAGAGCCGGGTTTGGGGTGGCCAGGAAGGCAGAAGAAAGGTTAGATCGTAAAATCAAGTTCCTGGCCAATACCACTTTTGATCGGCACTTGTTATTAGAGGGCGATCTGGCGGGGAAGAAAATGAAGGAAGCCAGCCATGGAGTACGTCTGGAG